CCACAGATGTGCGTTGTAAAGGTTGTGAAAGAACTTGTTCAAGCCAGAGAGAGCACTGTGGATGGCTTTCAAGTAGTGTATGCGTTCATGGTTCGGGTGATCCTCAATCACTCCACTGTACTTGTGTTCCAGGTAGCGCGCAGCTGCTGCTGTATCTGCACCCTTAACCCATGACCTTGATCATAGTATGCTCCAGGAAAATGTGGAAACATTTTTGGAACACCAATCATTTTTACATCCACGTAGACAATAGACATATATATCCAAAGTCTATATTCATGGCAAGGGGCCCTGTGGGGTAGTCCGTGCTTGCGTTGAAATTAAGCAAATTCCTGGTGAGATTGTTCATGTACAGCGGGATTCCTTTATCCTTGCAAAAGGATCTATCCGGTGCAGCCTTGCCGGGATGTCACCATCGCCACCATCGAGCCCAAGGTCTGTCAAAACAACCTCATTCAGAACATCACCAGAATATGTTTCGTTGAGTTTGGGGGGACCTTATCGCAAAGAAAACAGTTCATTGACCAAAAGTTGCAACATCACTTACCCCATGTGCACACTTTAAGTAAAAACCTTAGTTGGAGGAATCCTGAGTTGCGAATCCAGACCCCGTGAGCTCTGCACCAACCCCCTTGTGCACAGTGTGGAAAAGGTCCGGACGGTAAAACCATGTTTTCCCCCAAAGACTCGGTGATCTTGCCAATAGCTGTGTAAACAAAGTTTGCTGAGACCAGGGAGGTCGCGGGTCCGAAATGGATTCCGGGCACATCCACGATGCCTGATGGCATTGGTGCCAGTCCGGGTACTTCTCTGTACCCGTCATGCAAAGGTGACAGACACCTTTGCTCCGACTGAGGTTGGCGATGGCTTGATGATGCGTCCTGTTCAAGGCACCCAGCCGCTTTAAAATTGGCCAGTCGCCTTTGGTGTACAAGACAACTGGGTACAGCGTAGCCTCATCACCTCCATAAAGGACAGAAATGCAATCTTTGAACCCTGCGTCCAACTGCGTAGCAAGTTCATTGGCCAACTTGTCGAACACTTCCGGTTTCTTTGAGTACAGAGTTGAACGCGCGCAACTGAACACAAAGCGGGTGATGAGGCTACTGCCAGCCATGTTCGCTCCCATCTCAGACTCGGCTCCAGGTCTCTTCAGGCTCGCCAAAGTGCCTTTGCCAATCACGGGTTGGGTCGCCAAGACCATAAAAGACGTCTTCTTGTGCGACTGGCCTTCATCGGCGTCACACACATTGGCACACACCTGTTCAGGTGGCCTGCAAGAACAGTAAAAACTGGGTGGGACTTATCTTCCTCAGAGTAATTAACGGTGCCAAAACTCTTGGCAGGCCTTGAAGAGATCCAAACCACCTGTGAGAACATCAAGTTGCCCACACTGCCCCAGCATCCTGAGAAAGTCTTGTATGTTGAGAACTGGATGGTCATTCTCAGATCCAACATCGATGTAGGATATTTTCACATCTGCTTGAAGGTGTTCATCCTCCAACAATGTGGAGCTTTCATTCTTTGACTTTCTCAGGCGTTTCATGCGCTGAAGCAGCTTGGCGCTCTTGAGCTTGAACGATTTTGAGGCGCCAACTGCTTGCTCATGTTCTTCCAAGATGGAAGTTGCCAACATACAGGTAATCCGGTCTGGAATCTGGAACCTGAGCAAGCCATTTGCACCCTTGATATCGCTATATTTATTTCGCTTGATCACTATACCGTGACCAACGCCTGTGTATCAAACGATGCCCTAGATACACACGCTAAATAACTGGATATGATGATATGTAAGTACCTTCGCAACTTCAATTGAGAACGCCAGAGCTCACAGCTGTAGAAACTGCGGCTGCCACCGAGCTCAAACCGGCAGGTTTGGAAGAAGAACTTGATGAAGCGACGCCTGAAGGCCGGACAGTGGCAAAGAGTTGGGGTCTCAAGAACCTTGCGCGCGCTGGAACTGCAGACTTGCAAGAGTTCAGGGTTGGGTCCTTTTTTGTCGGTTCGCCCTCCAAGCACAATGTTTAGCTAGTGTCAGCCCACACCGATGATCAGCATCGGTATCTAAATGGAAGTGCCACGGCAGGATATATCATTTGCTCAGTGATCCATCAACACTTGAGATCTTACAATTGAGGGACACAACACCCGTCAGGACACTTCGCAATTAACCCCAGAACCCAGATCCCATCAAAGCTCACTTCTTATCCTTCGACTTACCGGTCACACGTCGCTGGACTGCAGGATCGGCAGCGTTGTCATCCTCCTTCGCCTTGGCCTTCGCCTTGGACTTGGGCATCTTGCCAGAGGGCTTCACGCCCTTCAGGACGGTCCTGCATGGGACAGGGTGCGCGCACGCGCACGACAGAGTTGAATGAGTTGTGTACTTGGAGTTGTAAGTTCATTGCACTGGAACCTTGTTCATTGACACAAACTCTCAGGTCAAGGCTTCTTGACCTTGTTGGCTTCGACAGCGGCTCGACCCACCCTCAGGCAAGTTGGAAGAGTCGGGCCGTTTTATATTTTGTGACCAGTCGTTCGCCCTGTGGCTACGACGATTTCTCAACTTCGATGAACTTGCCACTCAACTTCTTCATGG